GTTCGCGCACAGATCAGTGACTAATCCACAATCCTTCGGTATTCAAATGGAGATTTGTTACACTGAATGCCGCCTCATTTAATTTTTGGCTTTATATATATATATATTTTTCCCGGTGAAAAACATCCCCCTCTCCCCAGAGAGCAACTGGATTTTGAAGCAGAATCATCGTAAATTAAATGAGTAAATTGCTTCGTACAGTAATCGCAGTAAGTCTGTAGGAAATAACTGATATCAACTGGGGAAGCGGCATGGAGTAGTGGTCAGGGCTCCGGCCGGGAGGAAACTCTGTTCACATCCCGGATGAAACGCTGCTATTGTATCCTTGTGGATAACTCAAATTACTCCAGTAAACGTCTTACTGTATGAATGAGTGCTTTCCAGGTCGTCTTTGTAAATGAGAATGTGCTCTCAGTTGACTCTTCTCGGTTATAAAAGTAGGAAATGTAGCTGTATTGATACAGAGTGTCCGAGAAGTTACTCGTGTTTTAATTGATATAAGTATATTCTTCTACGACAGCGCATCCGTTTACCATTAAGCTAATGTGATCGCCGTTGTGTTTCAGTCTCACGTCCCATTATAAAACCTGTTGATTGTGCCACATCAGATCGTGCAGGTGTCGTTATTAATGTCCTGGTGCCAAAAGTAGACATTTTTTCTCTAGCAATGGTATAAACGAATGGTTGTATTTTATAAATGTAAAGACAGTAGGTGTTTGATATAAACATTAAAAAAAATAATTTTACTTAAGACCTAAATACGAATTTATTGGCGTTGGAAGAAATTATTTGGAAATTAAAATAGAAGCAACAGCATGAAATGTGAGCAATATGGAATAATATTCCTAGAGACAACATCTCTATCGCTCGTGTAAAAACATATCTTGCAGGGTAAAAATATGAACCAAGATGTATTCTAGTATTCAAATAACTTTAGGTTTATTTTTTCAGTATAATACTAACACGGCACCTTTCATTTTATGTAACACTTGAAAAAATATTTAACCAAAAAAGCCTGTTATTCCACAGATTCTTCTGTACGAAAAACACTAAATGCGCACATGCATAGGCCTAGCTTCGGTTAATTTCAGTTAACATAATTAACTGCGAAATGTAGACGGAGAATGTTAACTTTTTTTTATAATCGCTGTTAGTTTCTTTTTTAACCCCTCGCAGAGCTGTTTTAAGGTTTTCTTTTCCTGGTGCTACAATTCGGGGATCTGGGTGGCAGTGCATCGCAAGTTGATTCAGTTTTGACAATGTTGTTTAGCTATCATTTGGTGCTTTAGAATGAATGGAAGCAATCCTCTTTTTAACAACATTTGTTTCCTATTGTGTCGAGGTGCCGCAGTTAAGGACAGACATGTGAAAGTGGTTGTTTGATTCCCTTTTTCATCCCCATGACCTCAGCCTTTGTGCTCTCTCACCCTGGGAATGTCACGCCTCACTACTTTACTTTGAGATTCTTCAGAAAGTGGCTTTGTTTTTCCCCCCTTTTTTTTAAAGACACACACAAAATTGTCCTCTGTCCCCCCGCTGTAAAAGATACTTCAGATTGGAGCTTGGTTCACAAGTGCAATGCAATTTGGCTTAGCCCAACCTTTGTTCCGCTTGTACAAATGACCAAACAGTGCACACATTATGCAGTTGATCTACTGCTGCCTGAACACAAGAGTTTAGGAGTTGGGAGAAAGGCGAGTTAATCTATTCAGTATCAAGGTGGCATTTTCAGTGTGCCATTGGAGCAAAACAATAGCTCCTGCGCGGCGTGGAAGCACAACAAAACTAAAAAAATCAATAAACAAATAACCCAAAGCTACTCTTATCCCTTCCTCTCAATTAGTTAACCGTAAGAACTTAGCATGCTAAGTTAAAGACAAATTGAATCTCACGAGAACAGCGTGACCAGCGTTTCTCTAAAATCCCCGTTAAATTTTGACAATTGAAATTCACTGGGTGGTCTGGGAACTCAGGTTAGTGTTGCACTATTCTGCAAAACTGCTCTTGAAGACATTCTGACCCAATGTAACTGTTGGCCCCGGTCCCGACAGTGCGTTAAGTACCACAAGGCCACTGTGAAAATACTGTACACGAATGGAGTGGCACCCTACAGGCTGTGGGACTGCCAGGCTTACATTATTTTGTGAATTTGATATGAAGCTAAGTTGTACATGTGTATTTTAATGAAAAACTGGATTCATGGCTTAAGAATTCTTTTCAAAGTTGAAGCAAAATATTAAATCGCGAACCGATTTTGCCCACGTATCTCCGTCACAACCTCTACAGTCAGACTGCAGACGGAATTAATAAATCCGATCTAAGGACGATTATGCCCAATTAAACTTGTTGCTTCCCTCACCATTGCATTTTAATAACAGTTTTAACGGCTTCGCGATAATGATGATTAATGACATTATTATAATATACTTGTTTACTTTTAACGTTAGGCCTGCCTTTCTCATCAATTGGATTCTGGAAAAAAAATCTATGATACAGAGTGCTTTCTATTTACATATGCTTAAAATCAAAAAACACTCTAACATAATTTCAAAATAAATGCGTTAAAATATGCCAGTGCCCGTAGTCTTTAATTCTAACAATGTAATATCTGTTTGTATTTCACCTGGAAAATATAAACCCGATGCATTAACTTTAAAAACGCCTCTGTCACAGCAGTAACACACGCAAGCACACACTTCTGATTGGCAGTATAGTTTGTAAAACCTTTTGTGTAGAGATCTGATAAAAAAAAACCCGAAATGAAAGATGAGTGCTTTCACGCCACCAAAGTGGCAGACTTGGTAAAGAATACTTGCACTGTGACAAAAGAGCCTGCGTGTTTAACGCCGGTTCCCATAGGCAGCTGGATCACTTTGGTAAACTTCATGTGAAAAGCTTGGAAAATCGAAATCCATTGCCCCCTTTCTGCCAATACACGAACAGAAGAAAGAAAAGTAAAAAAAAAAGTAATTCGTGAAGAAGCCGAAAAAAAATCCGCGAGATAAAAGCTTCGAGCTCAAGACTCAGCGTGGAGTTGACTTTCTAGACGGGAAAGTCTGTTTTTCAGCCCGTTATTGTTTGGCAACCTAGGAAACCATAAGACGCTGGTTGGTACTTTTTCCCCTGTTTTGTAAATATTAACAGCTTTGTGAGACACAGCCCGTCTTTCTCCACTCCCTACCAACCGTGAGCAAAAGAACACCAGAAAGTTTCCTTTAAACTTCTCTACCTGGGTCTTGGGTTAAAACCCAGTGGCATCAAAATCAATATGGTGTTTGACACTTGTCTACCTCCTTGCTCTTTTTCTGAATCGGTTTGAATGCTGGTGCAGTGAATTGTGGATTTATGTGTGGAAAATTAGCATAAATTATTAGCAAATCTGTAAACGTGTGTGGTCCTGCTTGTAGGAAGGGGGCTATTGCAAACTCGCCAAGCAGAAAGGTGGTCCTTGGCGGGCTTAAAAAGATTGAATACCCATCGCTCAAAATAGGCTTCCATTTGGTTTTCACATTCATATAATTGACTTATGGGTATTTTATACAGTTTTCACAACGCCACCCTAAAGACTTTATTTGCATTTTTCTCAAGTACTCTTCAATTTGCTTAACATAAACACAAAAGACCCTGGCTTTCCTTATGAAGTTTTACTTAAGTCAAGCTTTCGATTGCTTTTGTGAAAATATCCTTTTTCTTTTACGCAGTGTTTCGCATTGCGCCCTTTTCTGCTTAATACGACGAGGAACTCCGTTCTTTTTATTAGTCTCATATTGTTTTGTTATTTTATTAAAATTGGTTGGTAGTACGCGTTTTGTTCAATGCGTTAATTTATTTATATTCAAAACGATACGTTAGTCACCAAAAACCCTCAAAATTCACTTTATTATGTTATCTCTGTTAATGATTTATTATGATCTGAACAAAAGTACGTCTCATTCAGTCGCTCTCCTGCTTTATATATCAATCTGCTTAAAATATTTTTTTCTTCTTTCCACTGACCGATATCTCTTAAGTCTCATGCTTTCCGAATACTCTGGTGCATTTTATTTGTTTGTCATTTATTGTTTTATAACATTAAAGATAAGGCCTTTAATTACGTTCCCAGTAAATTTTAATGGTATCCAACATATTTATTATCGGGTTAATAATATAGAAACTAGAAGATCGATAAATCAGGTGTGTAGTCTCTGCAGTTGTGGAGAGGTGAATTATAACACTGGGTGTTTTTTTTTTTTTCAAGTACTTCAGTTAATATTGAAAAACGTGCCCATGCATTTATAGTGAGACACCCAGACCACCGTCTGGAGTCATTTTAATATTAATGAAACAGTTTAATCTCCTAAAATGTGCCGAGTTTAAGATACGTCTTAGAGAGTTACTGACCAGATGCACAATAGTGTGGCTACATAGAGAAAACACGTGAGACTTTTCCAATTTTATAAAGTGACTTTTTCTTATACAATACTCATAAAACCAATAGCAGGAGTTAAGCTTATCATCAGTGGCATATATTAAAATTATTATTAGCCTTAGTAATTCACTTAGTCATTTTATGCGCGCTTATTAATGCATATATATATATAGGTTTCATGACTCAAAACATTTATCCTAAATTGGTTCCGTCGTGTTTTTAAAAATAGCATCCGTTTCGGACATATACCAGGAATGCACAAACATCCTTACAAAACAAGCATTTCTTCAAATAAAAACTAAAATGGTATTTAAAAAAAAAAGTACGGTGAGATGTTCGCGATATTTTTCTAAAACATTCGGTATCTGTAGTTATTTGACGCAATAAAAAGTCCCGCTTCCAGATTGTTAAAAAAAAGCAGTGACGTGACAGCACTAAACAAAAACTCAGATAACAATGCGGAACAAACAGAGAGCCAGTGCCCACCAATTTCCATGTCAAGCATCCCATTGCTCAGGACCTCCATTTGTAAGTGTGAATTGTAGACTAAGCATCCTGCAAAGTCCACAGAAAGGTTAGTGCATACCTTCACACACTGTTACTGGGTGCCATCACTCTTCAATTCCGGTTGCTGAGCCTTTTCACCCCCTTGCTCTGTCTTCAAATGGAAATGATTTCTATTGGCCCAAGGTGTCCATGTAAATAGGTGTAAATGAAACCAGATTATGCCTTTCTCTCAGCCCCCTCCTCCCAAGGCGATTGTCATGTGATAGCAAAGAAGTGGCACATTAATGAAGCGCCTCTACAGGGGTCTTTTCTGCTCATGTCACCACATAAAACTATCAGATGGTTAGAGGAAGGACATGGAGGTAGCTACTTAGCTCATCTTATCAAGAAAGGGAGAAGAGATCTGCTCTATTCAGCCGGTTTGTGGGAAAAAGAAGCTTACTGCCGCTTGCTTAAGTAAAGATCACAGCTCATCTACGAAAAGCAGACTGTTTTCTTAGGACGACTTACAAGACCCACAACCTCCAAACTCCGGACTTCCTACCTTGTAAACAGTGAACAGTTTACTTCAATTGCGAACTTTAAACAACTTCGAAGCTGGGACAGACGTTACCGTGACTCTCTCGAGAACGATAAACAAGACCTATGTATCAACAGATTTTCTGTTCGCCCACGTTCAGGTATTGAGCAAACAACTATTCAGTACAAATGAAGTTTTGATGTATTTATTTTAATGAGATTTCGCGAGAAGAACGGCGAGAAGCTTTCATTTTTAGACCTGTCAAGGATTAGCGCTGATTAGACGTCTTTCGCAGAGTCTGAAGAAGTACATACGAAGATGCCTCGACCAGGGAGAAACACGTACAGTGACCAGAAACCTCCGTATTCCTACATTTCACTGACTGCCATGGCTATCCAGAGCTCGCCGGAGAAAATGCTGCCTCTCAGCGAGATATACAAGTTCATAATGGACAGATTTCCTTATTACAGAGAAAACACCCAAAGATGGCAGAACTCTTTGCGGCACAACTTATCGTTTAACGACTGCTTCATTAAAATCCCACGGCGACCGGATCAGCCGGGTAAGGGAAGTTTTTGGGCACTTCACCCCAGCTGTGGTGACATGTTCGAGAACGGAAGCTTCCTGAGACGCCGCAAACGCTTCAAGGTGATGATGACATCAGACCATTTGGCACCAAGCAAGCCCTCTGATGCTGCCCATTACCTCCAACAACAGGCCAAACTCAGACTGAGTGCTTTGGCAGCCACGGGCACACACCTACCCCAGATGTCCACCTACAATTTAGGAGTGTCACAGCCATCTACTTTCAAGCACCCTTTTGCCATTGAGAACATCATTGCCAGAGAATACAAGATGCCCGGAGGACTCGCCTTTTCCACCATGCAGTCCATGTCTGCTGGCTACCCTCTGCACAACCAATTGACCACAGTTGGCACTGCCTGGCCCCATATGTATAGCACCAGCGTGATAGACACGGCAGCCCCCATTTCGATGGCCAGCAGTGATTACAGTGCCTACGGCGTGCCTATCAAGCCTCTTTGCCATGGAGGACAGACTTTACCAGCTATCCCGGTGCCAATAAAGCCAACCCCGGCCTCCGTGCCAGGTCTATCGGCGTTGCCTGCGCCCATTCCGGCTATCCTGTCGAACTCTCCGCCGTCGCTTAGTCCAACTTCTCCTCAAACAGCTACGAACCAAAGCAGTCCTGCCACCCCGAGTGAGACTCTGACAAACCCCTCTTCGACCCTGCAGTCTGTGGCAGTGCACTGACAAGAACGGTTTTCCGGGGCTTGACACTGCAGGTTTTTATCAATTCCAAAGTTTTATTTTATTTTTCCATCCATGAAAACGAAACACCTTCTTAGAGGCATTAAGGCAAGAAATGTGCTGTTTGCATTAATGTTTATTTTGAAGCTTGGCTGGGAGTTTCACCACTCTGTTTACAGGAGTTTACGTACATAGTTACGGTACGTGGTTTTTGGAAGCACAAAGAATCAATAGCGTTTACTATTTGCCATCTGAAATGATAATTGTCTAGTGGCTTTGAAGATGGGATACCATAATTGTGGTTACTATAATTATGTATGTGGGAGCAAAGGCAATATAATTGTTTCAATTGTCGTCGAAAGCGTTTTTAAATACAAAACTCAATCTGAATTGCTAATCATCCCAAACTTCCGAGAGAATGTATTTCCGTTCGTCATTATTGTCGAGTATCGCTTTAGATTAATAATGAAACTATGGATGATCTTTGTTTATTCATTAAGTTAACGACCCACAGACGTATTCCCTTGTTGTTTAGAGTTGACACTACAGTGGGTGACAGCAGAGTAATTTAAATAAAAAAATAAGAAAGGCTACTTTTGTACATTAAATGTTAAAGACAAGACACATTTCATTCAGCATTCGTCCTGGTGGCTCATAATTGTTAAATAAACATTTTTGCAAACTCGGTTTTCTTTGCAAGGTTTATACATTAACACTTAAAGGTCTAAGAGTGCTTGTTGCTTTTGGTATACCAAATACCTAGTTATTAGATTAATAGTCATAAATTATGAAAACATGAACAATCACAGTATAGCATTTCCTTAAGTATTCAGACTTGAAACGTAATGATATATGAAGACGTAAACGGTGCTCAGTGCATTGGAAATAAAGGTGTAAATTATTGCAAATAATTGATATTAAAATGTGTAAAATGCACTTTTTTAGTTAAATGTTTTAGAGTTTCTGTAGTTTACAGAAAAATGTTGTTCTGTGAACCATTAAGTTAAAAGCTGTGGTGACCATATGTAATAAATCATGTACATTTTTACCTTTTCTGTACAGATAAAGCATGCTATTTCCAAACTTTGTGTTGTTTTTTGCTGCAAGCATGCGTGCTTTTAAAAAGTGTGCGAAGTGTCTGCATTAAATTATGAACTTGGTCATCAAAATATTTTCTCATTAAAAGTTACACAAACCTAATAACATATCCCTGTGTATTTTGTAAGGATACCCATTACGTGTTTCATAATAACAATACGTTTGTATCATAATATTGTAAAATTAATGCGTATGAAGTTTGAAAAGTTTAGGGTCAACTTTTCATCTGAAAAAAAAATCAAGATTCTTCATAAAGAATTACTTTATAACTTGCCTGGCACGTGGAAAATTATTTTTTTTTACCAAAGTATTTTTTATTTCACAAGTGTTCAACCGTGATCTGTAAAAAAATAACTACAAATGGGAGAAAAATGTATTGTAATTATTTTGTGTAGCGTATTCAGCTGTTGAATTTTAAGTATATAAAATTAACAGCTTTATAGTGCCGTACAATAAAAAGAAAGCATTTTCCTTTTCAAAAGTCCACTAATGCTGATGTTTTCGAAAATGTGATTATTCTTGGTGTTTTGATATGAGGAACCTTAGTTCACAAAGAACAAAAGTATTTTAAGACCCGATACAGTTAAGCTCTTTGCTACTTTGGAAATAATTTTGCTTCTACCAATTTTAAGTTACTATAACGGTTATTTGGAGGGGCACATATAATTGCAATAAACCTTCAAAAATAAAATTCTGCTTGTCTTCCAATTTAACACCGCATACCCGGAATAACTTGGTTCATTACTTATTTTTTATTTTCGGTATTTTGTCGTCATAACAATGCAACCAAATTATAATATTTTGAATCCTCTTTCTTTGAAGGATAAACCTTTCTGCTATTTACACACACCTGAACACAAAAGCTGTGATTTAGTTGAACTGCACGCAACTCAAATAGATGTTTTTTTTTAAATGTCATATATATATATAAGAATAATCTGTACATAATTCGCGTTTCTTTAAACAGTATAGAAATGTAGCCGAACCGTAAAATAATTCAATTATGTAATTTTAGTGACTTGTACTGTTCCACCTGTTTTAGTTTTTGGGTCTTCGCAATCTTGTTTTTATCTTACGAAAGGAATGATCAATATCTTATTGACCTTTTTGCGGCGGCGCTGCCGGAATCTCGCACGGTGCCCTCCGAATCCCACACAAACACTTAAATGAAAGAGCGAAAATAAATGAATCAGCCGGTTGATTAAAATGCATGAAGTTACTGCTATAGTCACAGCGGAGACAACTGCGCTCATTCATCAAGTTCTACATACAATCAGCCCAACATACTCCAAAGAACTACAGTCTTTTCTTTAAAAAAAATCTGTAACCTGTGTATGTACATAAATATATCTTTATAGATAGATCTTCATAGATAAGCAACTAAAATCGTTTTGGAATATGTACTTTACGCGAAATACATTAAAATAATGTAACAATTTTCCGAGCTTTATCATGTTTTCAGTAATCAGGGTGTGAGTGATGTGTGTGTGTATATATATATATTATACGACGTTGTTTTTAAGCAGTTAAAATGTGTTGTTTATTCTTTTAAACTAACAACAAATTATCTAATTAATATGTTTCAATTACAGCATAAAAAGAGGGGCTTTTGGACCGCCTGCAGTGGGACTAACAATACCCTCAGACCCCACTATCGGAATTCACAATTACGACACATCTGCTTCTCTTTCCCTCCACCATTTGCATGCAAACCGCTCTCGAGAACACTTCAAACATGGGCCAAGTTATGAAATATGCTCTCGGGCCAAAATGCGACCCAAACTTGAATCTTTGTCTGCTGTTCACTATACGGAAAGCAGAAGCCTATCGTGGAGTATTAAACAAATATATTAGAATTCCCTCACTTTATGCAATTGAGTTGATCAAATAAAGGGTCCCGGGCCACTTCATTCACCCTCATTCACTTGAATAGAAAACGCAAAGAATAGCAAACTTAGACTAGGCCACCGATGTAGATTTAGCCCCTTTTTTCTAAGAGACAAAAAGGCTGAATTTTCACAAACACATTGCTGACTGGGAGACTGGGAAACGAGTTCTGAGACCCCTTTGGAATTTAAATTCGTTCTGTTTTCCTTCCTTGCTTTCTCGGTCTGTTTGCACAACAGCGCAAGTTTTATTGGCAACATGTACAGCGTGTCTACCGCCGTGTGTTCTTCGTCGACGGCGGAAAAGAACGCGCTTTCTGTATCAGATACAAAGGCAGCGCGGCTATAAAAAATCAAGAAGAATCTTGCTAACCTGATGTGATTCTTAGTTGTTTTTTTAAGTTTGCTTTTTCTCTCTCCAAATACCGCGTGGCGTATCCAAAAATCTAATTTTCAGTGTGAAGAAACGTTTTTCCTTTAGAAAACAGATATCCCCTTGTGTTGTTTGTATTGTTTTGTTACTGATTATTACGCTTTATATTACACCATGATGACTGTGGAATATCTCTCATATTTGTTTTGCATTTAGAATTTGGGAGTTTATTATTATTATTATTATTATTATTATTATTATTATTATTATTGACGTTGATGAGCTGTTATTTGTTTTATTCGGAGTTTGCGTGAATCATGTTACAATGACTTTTTAACCCCATAAAAGTTTTTTCTTTTGCGACCCTTTTTATTCACGTACTACAGGTAGCTCTGTTTTTTCAGCGTCTGAAATAACAGTACAATTGGTCGAATGCCTTTTCATAGTTACATTAACTATTATTTTTGTTGATAGTAGCTACATTTTGTCTAATGTGTCCCTCAGACTTCAGTAGTTCATAACCAGAAGAGCCCATGTCCATCAGTCTCCCGTGAAATCAAGTGAAATTACGGGAAAACACCAAGTGTTAATTTAGTCTACACCAAATACACCTTCTGAGTCTCTGATTCCTCTGAATTTGTCTTTTGATTTACTAGGGTACCTGACTGTGTGTGAGTGTTATCTTAAACGATTGTTCTCAACGTCTTGCGTAACAGACCTCCTGAACTAAAGCAAGAACTCGGAAAACAAGGAATATAAAAGCAAGCTTTGGTGAACAGCTGAAAATGATATTAATTTTAATTATTCTTCGTAACTGTTCGTTATTATTTCATTTCGTGCGGGCCTGTGCAGAGTTTAAAGTGCTAAGAATTTAGGAATTTACTCAGCGAGAAAATGATAAATGTAGTTTGAACGCACAGGTTCTGGCGTTTTGTGACAAATAAAAAGTGAAAGATCATGGTCTATGTATTTGTGTGTATGTATTGACAATATTGTCACCTAAAACTACCCAGACAAAATGTTTGAATATATATTGGCATATAGTCATTTTAATGCAAATTACCTTTTTTTTCTGTCAGGACTGCCATATGTAAAACTGTGCTATATGTAATCAGACTTCTTTTTAACGTCACTTGCACATTCTTGCTCTGCATGCCAGTAGTCTTGTTATACCTCAGGACATGAAGACACAATACTAGGGTGCTAGTAAGAACATGTCCAATCAGTTCACTGCGTAGACAACTAGATTGCAAACCAAACGTTAGAATAGTGCGTTAAACTGGAGCACGAGTTCAGCATTGATTTTGACAGATATCGAGCTACATTTCACCGGATAGGAATTAAAAAGGAAGACACTAAAACTGAACTCTTTGTTATTGGAACCTTCAGTGAGAGTCAAAGATGCTACAAAAGTTGTCTAAATAGTTTCGTTATTATGACTATTAATTATGATGATGATGGTGATAACGATGATTATGTTTTTCCCAGTACCTGGAAGTGATCAATAAAGTAATTTAAGGCATGGAGAGATAAATAGAGGGATAAATAAATACATGCAAATTAGATACAAAATTATACTCTATAGGACTACCTGTTCCATTTATTGTCACTCAATGAAAATGTATTTTATATAGAATCCCTCATTCTATTGATATATTATACAACACTTGACATGGTTTTACTGGCGGTGCCTTCGTTTACCTTTGTCCAATCAAAATGATAATTTAGATAAAGTGTGGACGGTGATGTGCATTATCCAGCAATATCTCATTATAATGCAAAATAATCAGATATTCACAGCAACTGTCGCATCTATTTATTGTTTGGTTACTCATCCAGAAATTTTAATACTTTTTCAGGGGCAGGGACTGGCAATAAAATATAGATCTATACATCAAGCCTTTAACTTGCAGCTATCATTGTGTGCCATAATACAGATGGAGTGGCCATCAGTTTTGTTTACCATATTAGTTTATTAACATTTCCATTGAAAAAGAAATCAAGGTAGAGAGTGACTTCGAAGGAGCTAGTACTGAGTCACCAGTAAAAACAATCACAGTCAGGCAAGAGTGTGTAAAGGTTTTAATAGTAATTGTATGGAGTATGTATGCACTTTCCATTAATATGTTCTTTAATGTGGTTTTTAGATGGAGGGGCACCAGTACACTAAACCTTGTTTCAGCCTGACCACACTCTCACTTTCAATCAAGTAAACACCCATGGCTGAAAATGGAAACAAATATTCACCTGGAACTATACATGGCTCTAGCAAAATCTGAAAGTAATAAATACTTTGTGGTGCTGTCCTTTGCTTGATGTAAGTCATCACTGATGGTGAGATCAGCATTCTTGGTCTACGTGTTTACAGCCCTGACATGGAATCTCTAGTAAAACCTTTGAAATGGTGTTTACCGAGTGGCTTTTTCACAGACCTTTTGAAGATTTTCACAATGGGGACTGTATCCAGGGACTGGCCAGGCCATGGTAGTTTTGTGATCCTTTCTCTCCTTTATATTTTTCTTTATTGCTTGCTTCTTAGTGGTGCATTGCTGTGATGCCACTTTCTGTAAAAGCGTATCCGTCTTTGGAAGGATGCCCCGTGGTGTAGCAAGGCAGGCATCTCTCCTGGCAAATCGTGATGCGTTACGCAGAAGTTACATTTTGTTTTGCAGACCGCCATCTCTACCGATCAAGTAGCCCATATCGCAGCTCCACAACGTGATGGA